CCCCAAAACCCCAAAACCCCAAAACCCCAAAACCCCGGTAGCTATTATCAGAAAGTTCTTAATAAAAATAGTAAGATTAACACCATAAATGAATAAAAAAAGCAGATTATTAACTTTATACTTTCAGAATGGAATTCTTATATACATACTTATTTTAATTCAATATTTTGATATTTTTATCATAATGACTCCAATATTGTTGATTAGTGATCATTTTGTTCAATTATCTTCGGGCCTTCGATTCTTAATTTATCATTTGCTTGTGAAATTCTTTTCACCTTTGAATCTTAAATGCTATCTTTAAAGTTGATATTTTAGACCATTGTAATAGCACTATAGTTATTTCTCTTCGGCCTCTTAGTTTTTATGGTATTATCATTTAATCTTTAAGAATCATCATATTCTTTATTTTGCGGTTTTATTCCTTTTTTCATTTGTCCATGATCTTAAGTGGATTTCTCTATTATTCTTAGTTATGGGGAATCAACATTTCTTGAGACAATTATTGAACTTTTATTCTTAAAATTTTTACTTACTTCACTTATTTTTCTAGTTTTTCTCTTCTTATATTAAGAGTCTTTGTCTTGCTTTTCCTCTTCGAAAGCTGTATTTAGCATCTTAAGCCTTGAGTCTTTTTTCATTCTAGATTTTGTAGACCTTTAAGACTTTTGAATAATTGAATTGATCAATTAGGTGTCATTTTACTCATCATACTACTCTTGAATAGTATCAACGTCATCTTTTTTCTTCTTTCTTTGAATTTGTTAGACATTATTGTCAAAGAGTCTGGTTTAACTCCCGTTTTCAAATGACCTTAATGATTCCAATTCTAATGGGGTTGCTCGATTATCTCTCTCATGATTATATCGTTCATTAATATTATTATTCCCTACTTATTCTCTTATTTCTGAGCTTTAAACTATTGCTTATTGAATACTTATGAAATTAGAGTTGCTTCTAAACAAAAGGTTAGCTCTACTTTGAGATAACTCATCAAAGTTCTATTATATGTCTAAATCTTTTTCATCAATAAGATTTTTCCTACATAGAGGACAACTATTGTTTGTCATGGCCCATCCTTCAAGGCATGCGAAATGAAAAATATGCCCTTCATCACAATTAAGCCTTATAATATCATCTATATCTTGAAATTATTCTAAACAAATTGAGCAAGTGTCTACTTTTGCCTACGATTCTAAGAATGTTGTTTTTTTCTTGAAGAAAATAGATCTTAACAACTGTTTTAGTTATTATTCACTTAAGTTTTTATTGAGTTTTCTATTCACTAATTGAGATGTTGTACCACCTACACTTTCTCTTTGTTGTTAAGATTCTAGTTCTTAATTTCTGGCAAATACTATAATAAAGCAGGGTAGACAGGCCATGCAGCAAACTAATATTAAGCTAAGTTTAAAGCACCCAAGGACAAGGTCGTGAAGAAGTATCATCCAAAATAAAAAATTTATCATAGTCAGGATCGTCCTTATCCGGTCTCGTTAATTGCTATCCAAATCACTGATTGTCAATTCCTCATTTATAGTTTTTTGTGAAAGAACAGTTATAATTATAGCAATCAGAATGTTAAAGAGCAGAATTATATTTTTTAATTTAGTTTGAACTCGCTTATCTCTAATTTTTTTACCAAGTGTACAACAAAAAACTATCGAGACCATTGATTTATTATACTATCTACATTTAGAAAAGATGTCGTAATTTGTCACCAAACAAATATAAACTAAAAAACTTCCTGTTAATCCAAGACAAGTTATCACTATCGTAAACATGGTTTTAAAGTCTCTGAGAATTAATATAAGAAAGTAGATGAAAGATATCAATCCAGAAAAAATAACAGCTGGATCAAAGAAGGATATGCTAGTATCAATTATTTGTTTAGCTTTTTCATAAATCATTATTTAATTAATTAGATTACTTTTAGCCTGGAAATTAATTTTATAATAAATTTCTAATTCAATCCTTGAGGGGTTTTGGGGTTTTGGGGTTTTGGGG